CCCAGCGGCAGCTGTGGTGGAGGGGGTGGCGGTGGGGGGGGCCGGTGACTGGCAGGGAGCTCCTGCGGGGACTCTTACTGCCGGGACAGTGGCCTCTCTGAGCTCCGCAGGCTGCACTACCAGAGCACCCGCTTCTGAGCCCAGGGTGGGTGGGAAAAAGAGGCTGGGGGCTGCCCAGGGGGGCTTCCCACTCCTCCCTCTGCTCTGTGCCCCCCGCAGTGGCTCTGCCCCTGCTCAGACTCACTGAGAGCAGGGGCTGGCGTGTCACAGGTGCTTCCCACTGAGCCAAACCAGTGCCAAGGGGCTCCTGCAGCCCTCCTGGTGCTCCGTGCTGCTGCTCCTGCCCCAAACAAAGCAGCTCGCCCCAGCTTGCTGTGGGCAGCCCCAGCTGGCAGCACCCTATGTGCCATGCATTGGGAAGCCGCAGGACCAGCAAAGCCCCAGGCAGCGCTTAAAGGAAGAGGGGATTAACCCCAAGCCCACAGGCACTGCCAGCCCTTGCTGGACCCCTTCCCTGGAGCACCCTGCTCTTGGTGCTGCAGGGTGGGCTCAGCTGCTGCATGCCCACTGCCCAGGGGCAGTGAAGCCGCTGCTTCATCTGCATCATGCATTTGCCCCAGCTCTGCCCTGTGTGCTGCCCATTGCTGCTCCCCAGCCTTGGCCAGATGCCCTGACCTCACTGGCAGCAGCATCCTGGCCAGCAGCATCCTTCAGCACTGCCCACAACACTGGGCACTTGCTTCTGCTCCCTGCCCAAGCTGATGCCATCCCCACCCAGACCCAGAAAGCTCCCCAGCCCCTTGTGCCACTTGCCCTAGGCTTGTGCATGGCCCAGTGCAGCAGAGGCTGAGCTGTGGCATGGGTGAGTCAGGCTCCCTGCAGAGTCCTGGCAGGGCCCGCCTTTTTTTTTGGTCCTGCCTGCACTTGGCTGCTGGCAGACCCCTGCCCACTCTGCACCATGACCTTCCCCACTGAAGGAGCTCCACCAGGACCCTTCCTGAGCCCTCCCCTGCCTATGTATCCTGCATGCACCTGCCACCAGCAACCCAATTCTCAGCCTGGCCTGCAGTGGGGACCCTGAAGGGCACCCAGGCCCAGTTGCAAAGTGTGGGGGTTCATGGGCCAGGGTCAGATGAGGGGGGGTTGAATAGGAGGGTCCCTGTGACATCCAGCACCTAAGGAGAAGATACCCTGCCTGTGTGCAGGGCTGAATGGAACCAGCGTTGCTTTCCTGGGGTCCTGGAGGGAGGACCTTGACCCATGGGACTTCCTTCACTTGGTCATGGCGTCTGTGCAGGGTGGCCCTGGCCCTGCTGTTCTCACTGGGGCCCCCCCTGCATGGAGACCTTCCTCAATAAACCCCATGCTTCATTCCCCGACACCTGTCCCTGTCCTTCTGCGTCAGAGTGCGGAGCAGGGCACAGAGCCCAGCTGGGCATCTCCCAGTGCACTGGGGAACACAGAGACCCACAAGGAGGGTGAGCATGGGGGCAAATAAGAGGGAGGGATGAGGCAGTGCATGGGGGGACAGGGACACCCTTGTGTGACAGCTGTATGGCTCTGGTGACAAGGACTCATGTGGAAACTGGTGCAGGAACAGGTTTATTCAACTGGCTGAGGGCGAGCAGGGGGCACCTGGCTATATGGGCAGGTTAGTTGTGTCAACAGCGCCCGCCTGCATCCAGGGAGAAGCCCTGGCAGCAGTGGCAGTGGAAGGAGCCAGGGCTGTTGTGGCAGATACGGTTGCAGGGGCCAGGCTGTGGCTGGCACTCATCTATGTCTGGAAGAGAATGGGAGAGGATCAGAGCTATGCTAAGGGCATGGGGCTCGTCTGGCATGGGCAGGGCAGGGGATGAAGGGGCAGGGGGCAGCTCATGAAGCTGGCACACAAAGGCAGCTCCAGTGCTTATGCCCATGCATCTGTGGTCCTGGCACTGCTTGTCCCTACAGCTGCCAGGTGGCAGATGCCTCCTCACTCCAACTCCCACACAGCCACAGTCTGTCCCTCCTGCCCCCTGTGTTTTGGGTTGGCAGGAATCAGGGATACAAGCACAGCCAAGCACCCGAGGAAACTGTGTGCTGCCACCCCCGCTGCCTGCAGGTACTCACCCAGGCACTGGCTGGCAGCGGGATCAAGGGGGTGAAAGCCCGGGCCAGCAGTGGCAGGTGTGTGCCCCGGGGGTATTGGTGCAGAGCTGGCTGCAGTTGTGCAAGCCCTGTGCACACTCGTCGATGTCTGGTGGTGGGGAAGAGAGCAGTAGGGGGTTACAGCCTGCAGCGGAAAGGCAGCATGGCCCTGTTGCTGCATGGGCAGGGCTGCCTGCTGCACCCCAACCCCTCCAGTGCTGCACATCTGCCCACGGCCCCAGGTCCGGGAGCAGGGATGGGCAGGGACAGAGCTGCCCAGAACCACTGTGCACCCTCCAGCTGGCTCCTGGACCAGGGGCAGGGAGAGTTGGGGGAAGCTGGGGGTGCTCCCCAGCCCTGAGCCCCCTCCCTGTGAAGCCCCAGGGCAGGGCTGGCAGAAGCACGGGCACAGCCCTGCCCCACACAGCTCAGCAGGCTGGGCTAATAGGATACAGTTTATTGGGAGGGTTCTCTGGGAGAGGGGCTGGAAGACTGAGCAGGGTCCAACTCCAAACAGTGGGGTCAATATGTTAAAAAAAAACAGACCAGGAGAGTCCTTCCCCCACAGGGCCAGGGGGACCCTCCTCTGGCAGGGCTAGGGAGGGGGGTCCCAGTCACCAAGGAGGGGACAGGCAAAGCAGACACATCGCAGGCCAAACCAGCAGGCACACGGTACAGTATCGAGGAGACAGAGCAAGCGACCGAGTGGGGACGTGCCAGCGAAGGGGTGCTGCCCCGGGGCTGCTTTCCCAGACACAGTGCAAGGGGGCAGCCTTCCTATGGCTGGGGCAGCTGGGCTCTGTGCCCATCCCATCACAGGCCACCCCACTGGGGCACAGCCGGCACTTCCAGGGCAGTTCAACAGGGAGAGGAAGAGAAAAGAGAAAAAGAGAGACAGGCAGAGGCTGGTTGGTCCTTCTGCCAAGGCTGCTCTGGCATGTTACAGGCAGGGCTTAAAGTGCATAGAGGCAAAGGCAGAGTCCGAGGACTAGAGGGAGGAGGGTACTGTGGGGGGAGCCAGGCCAGCTCCCAGTGGAAGGGTATCCCCCAAAAAAGGCCACTTGAGCTGCACAGAAAAGGAGAGAAGGAGCAAGAGAGAAAGAGAAGGGAAGTTAGTGAAGTCTCAGCATGAAGTGCAAGACGAACAAATACAGAGCCAGGGTGCAAGGGGCTGGGCAGCCACGTGGCAGCTTGCAGCCAAGCTTTTGGCAGGGGTGCAGCAGCATCCCACGGTAGTGCTCTAGGGCTGCTGCCCACCAGCTTGGCCAGGCTGTAGCGGCCCAGGGTCAAGGGACCTCTGCTGTCACTCACCCACACAAGCTGTACCATCCTCGTTGGGCTCAAAGCCCCGGCTGCAGC